GTTCTACATGAGTAACTCGGTGAGTTGAGTAACTACTCCTGACACTGAGAGAGTAAAACAGGGTGGCAGTTGAGCTGTGTAGATGCCATGGCATCTGCTGGGATTGGATCACCTTCCCCGTTATTTTTCCAGCAAGCAGCAGCAACAGAATTAAGAATTAAAACTTAGATCAGCAAATTGGTATTATTGCTCAGGCTCAGAGGCAGTAGCAAAGGTGCTGAAGGGTTCCCTGCAAACCTATCAGAAATTAATGGGAAGATTCCTGGTCAGTGGGAGTTCAGGCAAACAAAGATTGATTCTAGATCCTTTGTCTCCCTGGGTGTTAATTTGGTCTGAGAGAGACTGCTGGAAGGAAGAGATTTTGACACAAAAATCTCATGTTTGTTTGCTGTATTGTTAGACACCCCCCCTCAATTAATAAAGATTAATATTGATTAACAAGAAAATCACTATATTTTTGTGGGGAAAAATGCTTCTGGCAGTCTTCTGTTTGACTACAGAAATAAAAGACGTTGGCACAAGAATAAATGGGTATATAAAAGGTTTTGTGTACATTTAATTAGGAAAGTGGAGGGAGGAAAGTGTGTATATTAATTTAGGTTTTAAACAGCAGCAAGCACTAAGACAATTTGGGATGTGATACAGGGTGTCACTTAAATTCGGTACCAAGCACACTCCCTTTTTTATTCTGTCAATTCTTAACTGTCTTGTCTCCATTGTCATTTTAGCGTGAGAGAGCAAGCTTCAATTTAGATCCCCCCTCCTTTTTTTTTCTCTCTGGTGAATACCTAATCATCACACTGATTTTTCACTGGGTATTGACTGTGAGACTTCCTGGCCTAATTTTTCTTGCTAACTGCAATGGCAATAGCTGGTCGTTGGCTTTTTTTCTTTTTTTAACCTGAGATATACAGGATGTTCAGGCATGCAGATATATTTTGGGTTAATTGAGTAATAGTCATCCAAGACCCAGGGCTTCTCCTTGAGATTAACATACAAAGCGATAGGTGAAAAAGCTCAAGGTCTGTTACCCTGTGAGATACTAATATCCCCGCAATTAATTTAATTTTCATGATTGCCTCATCTTAAATTGAGGTGAAATCAAGGATTTTTCATTTTTTTCCCCCTCCAGCTGAGTTTGACTGGCACAACTTCTGACATGGGTATATGGAGGCTGGTACCATGGCCAAGTCAAATCCCTTTCTTTGTTCTCTGGGCCTGCTGCTGCTGATAAAGTGGTCGGCGCATGGCATTATGTCTTATTACATTTTTGATGCAGACTGCAAAGAAACGGGTAAACTCACCATGGTTACCACGATCTGTCATTTGGCAGGGCATGCCGTACTCAGCAATGGCCTCTAGTGTCTGCAGCACAGCTCTGCATATGTCGTGGGTACAGTAGACAATACAGCACCCCTGGCTGCTGAAGCGATGCAACTCTACTGATTTGACTGCTAATTCAGATCGGGAGCAATGCTCCAACTCTGGTGGCAGGTTCTTACTGACAGTTGACTACTGCAAGTTCTTGTTTGTTTTTGTCATTCAGCGTTGACTGAGTCACTGCTGGATCCAGGCTCCCATGCTGAGACCAACTACTGTCCACTGCAGCACCGTGTGTTGCAGGCTTTCACATCTGTGAAACTTTTCTTGGTCAGCCCCTAGATTCACTGCTTTGTCTTGGCACTTCCCGTTTCTAGTAGGGTTTTCTTTCATATCTGGACGTACCCTGCTGTGTTATTTCGTACTAACCAAGTACGTGTCATTGATTAAATCAACATAATCTGAAACAATCACTAAATTATTTGTACTATATTATCATTAACCAACATGGTGGCGAGAAATTGTTTCTTGTTTTGCAAGGGCTGTAGCTAAGGTTTGCTGGGTGGGTAGCGCAGGATTCCTGAGCCTGGTCATCGGAGTCCTTGCCTTAATTCTGAACCGGTTTGGAGCTCTTAGGTCTTGTATGTGACTGCTTGCAATAACAGTTCAGGAACAAGTCTTTGCAGGACGGGTCTTTTGTTTTATTGTATGTGAGGAAAAATTGCTTAAGTCTTTCTCTCCTTAATTGAGGTAATTAAGCCTTTTTACCTTGCAGCACAAGGGGCTCATTAGTGTTTTTGAAGCATTTTGAAGTCCTTGGAGGAAAGATGTGGTTTGCTGTTGTGTCATGTTTGATAACTGTTGAAATTCAGTCATCTGGACTTGAAGTATTGACTGAGTTGTACATACAGAAATCTTACAATTGTGCATGTATTTTGAGCTGATTATGTGAAGAATTAATTGAGACAATAGCTGACAACTGTGGTGTTCCTTCACAGTGCCGTACTCGCTGGGTGTGTTGTTTAGGTTTTTTTGGTTTTTACTGTGCTTTAGCAAAATGTGGCAATTGGCTCCATGTGAAACCTTAGCAACGGAAATGCAGATTGTAATGCCATAAAACTTAGCAGCTTAGTTAAAGACAAAGAGAAACCTTGATTTTTTTAAGGTGACCTAGTGACCAGACCAATTTGCCTTTTTTAGGATTTCACACACTCTCTTCTTGTAATGAAGACAACCTTACAGTGATACCCTGTGACAGATTGTGGAGACTTCCCAACTAAGGACAAGACTCTGTTCCACTCTCTTCAGCAGCGTTTTTTACAGTGTAACTGCTGGCACTTTTCTTTTGTAGTGAGGGGAAAATATGAATGAAATCACTTGCAACTTTAAAGCAAAGCTAGAGCCCCAGTGACTTTTAGCATCAGTTTAATTTAGATTTAAATGAAGGGTGGTAAATGAGATCTGTTCCTCCTATGAAAGACAGTTGGGAATTTTCAGCAAAGGAGTTTGTAAGGGGGAAGGTTTTTTCAGACAGCAGGCAGTCTGTGTCTGTGCCTACAGGCAAAGACAGCAGCACCAGTGGATGCTGGGGCACTTCATCTCTAAGAGTGAACGATTTGAATGGTGTAATGCTCCCTTAGTCCTGAGCGTACAACCAGCAGGTCCTCTAATACTGTTGTGAAATGGGCAGCATAATTAAGCCACCTAAGAAAAATCTAAAAGTTGTTTCTCAAACCCAAATTCTTAACATTGGGAGGGCGAGGGGAAGAAGAGTTTTGATTTTCATTTCTGGAGCAGTTTGTCAATGATTAGATTAGAGTCTGTTTCTTTAACTCTTAGTTGACTCCAAATCCTGTCACAGACTTGCAGAATGGCAAGGTTTAGAAGGGACCTCGGGAGATCATCTAGTCCAACCCTCCTGCTAAATATCATCCAGGCAAGCTTTGAATATCTCCAGAGAAGGAGACTCCACAGCCCCCCTGGGCAGCCTGTTCCAGTGCTTTGTCACCCTCAAAGTAAAGAAGTTCTCCATCATATTCAACTGAAACCGCTTATGTTTCAGTTTGTGCCCACTGCCCCTTGTCCTGTTGCTGGGCACCACTGAGAAGAGTCTGGCTCTGTCCTTGGGATATCCACCCTTAAGATATTTGTATGTGTTGATGAGATCCCCTCTCAGTCTTCTCTTCTTCAGGCTAAACAAGCCCAGCTCTCTCAGCCTTTCCTCCTAGGGGAGATGCTCCAGTCCCTTTATCATCCTTGTTGCCCTCCTCTGGACTCTCTCTGGGAGTTCCTCATCTTTCTTGAACTGGGGAGCCCAGAACTGGACACAATATTCCAAGTGGGGTCTCACCAGGGCAGAGTAGAGGGGGAGGAGAACCTCCTTCGACCTGCTGGCCACATTCCTCTTAATACACCCCAGGATACCATTGGCCTTCTTGGCAACAAGGGCACATTGCTGGCTCATAAAACCCCACCGGGTCCCCCCCCCCCCAACCTCCCCAGCCTGTCCAGGTCCCGCTTAATGGCAGCACAGCCTTCCAGCTTATCAGCCACTCATCAGCGAACTTGCTGAGGATATACTCTGTCCCCTCATCCAGGTCATTGATGAGTAAGTTGAACAAGACCGGGCCAAGTACTGAGCCCTGAGGAACTCCACTAGCTATGGGCCTCCAACTAGACTCTGCACCGCCGATCAGAACCCTCTGAGCCCTGCCTTTCAGCCAGTTCCCAATCCACCTCGCTGTCCACTCATACAACCCACACTTCCTGAGCTTCCCTATGAGGGTGTTATGGGAGACAGTGTCAAAAGCCTTGCTGAGGTCAAGGTAGACAATATCCACTGCTCTCCCTTCATCTACCCAGCCGGTCATGCCATCGTAGAAGGCTATCAGATTGTTTAGGCATGATTTTCCCTTGGTGAATCCATGTTGGGTATTCCTGATCACCTTCTTTTCCTCCACTTGCTTGGAGATGACACCCAGAATGACTTGTTCCGTCAATTTGAATATGATCTTTTGTAACTTTAGAAGAAGTAGCCACAACCTGAGGTGATGTTATTTTTCCTTTGGTTTTCTTACATAGCACAGTATGACTGTCTAAAAATGTTTGGTACAACACAAAGAGGAATCAATGGTAGCACTCTTTGCCTCTGATGTCACACAATGAGTAGCAGATCTGATATACCTCAACTGACTATTCTCTATGAATAGTTTTGGCATTGGCTGAAAATAGTACCGAGGGTGACTTGCATTGACCATGTGATGATACTTTGAGTTGCAAAATTACTTTCAGATAACTTGCACTGAAAAAGTAAAAATAGCACAGTACATTAGACTCATCTGTGTGGAATGTATATATGCAAAAATAGGGCTCCTTAATATTTACAGTTTGCCTAGGCAGAACAACCTGTCATGCTACACTCCTGCTTCACTTTTAGGCAAACAATTTGCACTGATAATGTTGCAGGCTATGCTATTCTCAAATGTACAGCAAACGTTAGAAAAGCATTAATGTAATTTAACTATTCTCTTCCTAGAAAATAGTGTGGCTCTGAAATGGCATTAGTGGTCTTAGACAAAGGTGACAGGTCACAGCTTTAGAAAAAAGTAATCTAAAATGTGTCCCAGTGTAACAGGCTAATTAATCTTTAGATAATAACAGATTTTTTTTTTCTCTTGCAGCTGGGAGCGTTCACTCTCCCTCCACAAGTATGGCAACATCTGCGCAGTACAGACAGCTTATAAATGACTACGGACCCCCATCTCTAGGCTATACACAAGGGATGCAGGTACAGCTCTGCTTGTTTTTCTTTAATCAGATCACCAACCCTACATTTGCATAGCAGCATGGATTGTGGCCTGTAATCTGAGGTGTTCCTCCCTCCCACCAAGATCTGAAATCAAACCCAAATGGCAGACTGATTCATCGCACATGTCTTGGGATCAAATTAGACTTAGCAGAGTGCTGAGTGAGATTGGTTACTAATTAACTGTTAGTCCCATCCTTTCTGAGTCACAGTGAAACATGTCGTTGAGTTATGTTCTGATAGTAAGGGCTCTAACATATTTTAAAATTATTTGTTAAAAAATTAGTGTTTCTGTACTGTTCCTTGGCAAGTTTATACTCTAAAATATAGCCTCATGTCACAGGCAGTCCTGTGGGCTGCTTCAGGAATCCAGCGGTAAACTTCCTGTGAAATGTATTTGACTTCACAGGATTTCCATTACCATATGGTCAGTTTTGTTTATATCTGCTTCTCATTCTCCCTGCCTAGACAACTTCTCCACAAAATATACACCTAAACATTGAAAAAGCAGAAAGAGAGTTAAATAAGCAGTTCTCAGTTTTCTGGTCTTGCAGGCCTGTTTTAATTTCTGTCCTACCTAAGGTCCCAGTCTTGCAGCTGCATTCTCCCAGTTGATCCTGATTTTTGAAGGGCATGTAGCATTGTGTCCAACTGTAGCAGCAACTGTAAAAAGAAAATCATGTTTATATAATAAACCTGACATTTTATTTTTTTTAAAAAGTGGCTTCTAGGGCTATTTCTGGTCCTCCATGCATTTCCAGTTGCTGTTTGTTTTAACTGTTTTGGGTTTAGCAGTATTTAATTGAGATTAATCTGCTTTCAACTACAGGGTACCAGCAGCAGCCAAGTACCGCAGAGCAAATACGCAGAACTTCTAGCTATCATAGAAGAATTAGGAAAAGAGATTAGACCCACATATGCTGGGAGTAAAAGTGCGATGGAGAGGCTAAAAAGAGGTAATGTTTAACTTTATTAAAAAAACCCCAACTGTCACATACATTTCGTGCACTGACTACTTGTAAACAGCTTCATGACAACTGTTCCCTTTGAAAGGAGACAGCTGTCTTGAGCTCATCATTAAACCAGGTGTATTAACAAGCAACTGAAACCTTGGGATACTCTATTCATGCTGTACTTGATAGATATACCAGGCAAAACATGTTCCCTGTGCACGAGGAGAGTTCCAGTTAATAATTCAGACCTCAGTTTAGAACCCTCAGGGTGTCTATGGATGGGTGCTTCTAGGCTCCTGCTGACTGACTTGCCCCTTCAATTCCTTTTACTCCTCAGTCTCCAAAATATACAACCAAGCATTGTTTACTTTTCCTCATATATATCACCCACCTACTTGACACAGGACTCTTTATACTAAAATGCATTTTGCCTAAAGAAATAATGCATTGTGGTAATCCACACTGAGGATGGGGGAGAGAAGAGCTGGAAAAAATAAAAAAAAGGTTATCGGTGAAGGCTGTTCAGACTGAGATGTCAAACACACGTTCCTCCTTTCTGTGGAGCGTTGGGCTCCATTACCTGTTGTCAAGTGGATGTCATTAATTAATGAGTCCACTAGTAAGGGACATAGAAGCTTTTAGGCCTGTCTGATGAGGTCTCTTTAGCTTTGCTTTGTCAGCTAAAAGGGGTAATAAATGCCCTTTCCTTGCAGTGTAAAAGAAACCCCCGCATACCCCACTGCTGACATCAGCTTGACATTGTCCTCTGCAGCGGACGTGGGAGGGATATTTCTGAAGGAGCAGTGGGACATTCCCCTGCTCCAGCTCCTGAAATGACCCTGAAAGGCCATTGATGGCAGTTGTGCTGGCAGGTCTGTCCTCCGCCAGTGTAACGTAGTTACTTTTTCCTCCCTTTCCTTGGTCCTTGTGCTGAGTTTGGCTCATGCCTTCAACCCTGACCGGGAATGTTACTGTAACAGACTAACTTCACCACCTTGCAAATCCCCCTTACATTTACCCAAGACTACAAAGCTTTATTTAAGGCTCAACCATTATGGAAGAGTAATATATCTGCCATGACATGCAATAAAATGACTAGTAGCTGTTCTGGGAAAGGATGCAATAAAGTCTGCTGATGAGTGGTAAGTGGAACCTGGCCCAGCTAAAATCAATGTTGCTGGAGTCTCTCTTTATTGCATTGCCTGAGTCAGTATTAATAGATCATGGCTGGCAATAGGCTAATGGGGACAACTTGAGAGAGACTGGGAGAGGTGCAGACATTCTTTGAACTGAATGGTTCAGTTTGATGAGGAAAAGTTGTTTTGCTGCTTTTTGCTGTGAGTATTTAGTTTGTTGGCTGATGTAGGTTTAAGATTCAGTGCTGCCACTGCAACTTGCCAGCACTGCAAAGAATCCCAAATAAATACTTTTTGCTGCCATCTTTTGGTCACAAACATACCTCTCCCTCAGTTTTGGGAGCCTAATGGCTGAAGGAGCATGTGCAAGCATGAGAGCAAAAGTGATTGAGGGTAACCACGTGACTGACTGCAGCCTCCATGGCCATGTGGAGGTTATTCCTGAATAAAGTCCCTGTCCCCAGCTCCACCCACTCCTAAGCACAGAGGCTACTGACCTCTAAAACTGGCCAAATTCCCAGTGTTCTACATAATTCAGGGTAGTTCTGCTGCATAAACTGGGCATCCTGCCACCAGATCCAGGTTTAGTGCACTGCTTTGAGTACACGTTTCTGCATCCCATGGCTGCAGGATGCAGCTTTACTTGTCTCTGATGATTTAACCCTCTGCAAAGCTTTGCACCCATGAAGTCCCAAGTCAGTACTCCTTGGATGTGAAGGCTGCTGTTGTGATCTGGGCTATCAGCCTTCTAGAAACAATCCATTATCTCTAAATAGAGATTAAACCTCATCTATTGCCTTATTGTCCTTTCTCCACCTTGTTAAGGAGCATGATTGAGCAGAGAAATTGCTTTCTATCTTATCCTGTCAGTAAAATATAACCTCGTTTGTTGTAGAAAAATCTGTCCATCTCATTTTAAAATCCATCTCAAGCTCTGTTCTTCCAGCAGCTCTGTGAACACGAATCTAGATTTAGTTCCAGGATTAAGAATCAAGGTCCAGATTGCGGGAACTCAAGGCAACAGGACTTGTAGTGGAAAATTCCACATTATGTCTATCAGATGAGAGTAGATATGGCAGCATGTAAAGTGGTGATGATTTACACTGGGAGCTGAGCCAGCGTTAGGAGGTAACTTTTTGCACACACCATAAAAAAAATTCTTATTCTTACAAGAGACACAACTCATGTTTAAGCAGTATTATGAAGGCTTGGGTTTCAATGCATCCTTTCAGAGAACTATCCCAAGGTATTAAGACTTTTAGAGCTTGCTAAAATGACTCCCCAAATAACTGTGGGTTTTTTTGCTCCACTGTAGCAAAGTAAGTCACAGGTAGGTAAGATGATTTCTGTTAAGTCTCCAATTTTAAACAGGCCTGCACTGCACATTAAGATACACCTGTCACTGCAGACCCACAAATCTTACCATGCTCTGATTCCTGGTTTAGTCCCTTTTCATTTTATAATGCCAGTTTGGGAAAGCAAACTTGCTTAGGAGCCACTGATGTTTGGGAAGCGAGGGATCTCTCCCTTTTCTGAGGCAAGCTGTGGTAGCCTTGACAACTTGGGACAGAAATACATAAACCTTTCTTTGGACTGTCACTGCAACTGTGACCTGAATGAGATGATTTAAAATATGTCCCATTCTTTTGCAGGCATTATTCATGCTAGAGGATTAGTTCGGGAATGCTTGGCTGAGACGGAACGAAATGCAAGATCCTAGCCCACTAATTCAGTTGCAAGATTTTCCATCTCTTAATGAAGAAAAAGTAACACTTATTCCTTTCGACTGTTGAAACATTCAGACAAATTCCTTTATTTGGAATGTTTTACCTTTCTTGTTTTGCCCTTAAAAAAATGTATAGTTAAGAATGAGAAAACAAGGATTTTTCAACTTACTGAGGGTTTGCATTTTGTAAAGACGTTAAAACTCCCTAAAATGTTTCTAAAACATGAAAACCGAACCGCATGCAGAGGAATGCTCTTTCTCTCCCAGGCTATATTTCAGTTCTCTTCTTACCCAGCCACAGTTTCATTCTGTTTTTTTCCTTTGACTATATTCACTTAACCCCAAACTGTCAATCTTTCAAAGTTTGACATAAGCTCTAAGGATTTTTTTTTGATAAATGCAGAATAGCATGCTGTACCTAGTAGTCTGCTAAGTCACAATTTGTCATACAGCATAGACCCTGCTTAGAAATAACCTTCCCCTTCTCTTATTTTTCCTTTTTTGTTCGTTTTGCATAAACATTTGCATGACTGTTAGTGCTTTGAAGTCCATTTAAAGTGCATGAGTTATATGGAAAATAGGGAAACCTATTAAATAATAACAAGGTCCTGGAAAGCTAATTTCTACTTTAAGGCTGGAGATTTCAGTTTAAAGTTTGCCAAAAAAAGAAAATTCTGGATAAATTACTAAAACTGTTATTTGCATCTTTGTATGTATTTATTACTTGACGTAATAAAGCTTATTTTCATTAACAGTTTGTATTAAAACTATGTACAGTCACTTTAATCAGATTCATACTCCTTGAACAAGTACTCTTAACAGGTTACAGATTTAACCTTCATGCAGGAGGCTTGAGTTCAGGAGCAGACAAGGGAACGGGCCTGCAGATTACTGGAGAGTTTCCATTCCATGGTACAGTCCGGACACAGTCAATCTCTGTAGGAAGGAGGTATAGTTGCTAAGTAGTCTCCATTGCTTTCAAAATAAATACTACGGCTTCGCTTCTTGAAGCACTCTCCCTTCACTGCTGAAGGTGAGACCTGGGTGGCAGCCAGGGAGGGTGCTGTCCAAAAATTAAAGAGAAGTTCTGGTTATGCAATTAAAGAGTTTGTAACAGGATCAAACTAGGAAAATATACTTCACTAGCCGCTCCAAAGTAACAGTAACAAAGGAAAAGCAACTGCATGTATTTGCATGAAATGGGAAACTGTCAAAATGAGTGAAGATACCAAAATGCCCGAGCTTAACTGCAGCACAGCATAAACATAATAAATGACTGTAATTCACTATCGTACAATCAACCCTAAGGAAGATGGGATAGCTGGGATATCTAATACATATGGAGGTACAGATACTTGAAGAAAATGCATTATTAAGAAGGGAAGTTAATTACTTCACAACTTGGATTCTGTTGCCTTGGGAAGCAGCTTCCAACATGTGTTGTTCTTCATCTGTATGACCCAATTTCACCTTTGAACTGGAAGAACATGACAGACCAACCCTCACTTGCAGGACTGCCTTCCTCCCCATGCTCATCACCACTCCAGGTAAGGTGTGTAAAGCTTCTGTTTGAACTTCCTTCAGAACTGAGTAGGACAGAGCGTTTGTTCAGCTAACAGATCTGGAGGAGGCAACCAGTGACTGGTGTCTCTGCTATCAGCATGTCTGTTTACGCCATCAGAACCAGTACCAAAACCTGGTCACTGTAATGGATTTATGTCAGTAGAGGCATTGCCTGAGTAAGGATGGAAAGCTACAGCCTTTGAGGACCATTCTCCGTGTGTACTGGAACCCCCCCAAAGCATCATAAGGTATCATCCAGGGAGAAGGAGATCTATTCAATTTTTTTTGTCTCTTAACAATGGTGGGAAGTTTATAGTTCCTTTTTAACAAGGACTGGTTTATCATCTTCTGAACTCGGCAGAAAACCTGTAATGAGATGATGGCAGACAGACATAGGAGTACACGACTGCTTTTATCACTTCAGTTTTACAGTAATAGCAGGTCACTACTCAGTATTTCCGTTGTGCTTACAAAGCCCTACATCATCTGTTAGTTTGAAAACTGTGTTAGATGTAATGACAAACATTTCCCTTACCCTACTAGGCCAAGTCAGTATTTCATGTGTTTATTTCTTATCCAGTTGTTGCATCTCTTTAAAGTGCTTTTTCCTTTCTAGGTTTTCCTTTGCTCTTCTTTTTTTCTCTTGCTTCTTCTTCTCTGATGCTTTCTTCTCTTTAAAAACATCGCTATCTTCACCTTTGTAGAAAAGGTCAACTTTTTCCTGCAGGATTTCTCTGGCTAGCTTTCGGTTCTGCTCCACTGATCTTGTTTGATGACACTGAAGAATACAATAGGAGATTTTTACTGGAACTTTAACCTGTTTATTCTTCTTCTGTCCCTTTCAGTCTATATATTCCTGTCATTACAGTAAAGAAACTCCCCTCTCCCCCAAACCAAGAGCATCCTCTCACCAAGAGCTGCTGGAGCTTTCGTATCCAGGTGATATATTTTGGAGAGGATGCCGAGTAATTATCTGCTACTGTAACTTGTCAGACTGGCTTTTGCATTAATCTTTAATTCTGTCAGTGAACAAGACTGCTTCCATATTACCTTGGAAAGCTTCCTCTGAGTTTAACTTAACTGTGTCTTCCTCTTGTGATAAGGAAGCAAAGATTATTTTCAAAGTATTAATCCACAAGAAGTAGGTAAGAGTAATGCTTAAAAAGAATGCAAAGTGAGTATGATCAATTGTTAAGGAAGACATTCTAACGAACTCACAGGAGAGACAGGACTGTGACAGCTGCCACTGAAAGGTAGCTACAATGAAAATACATTTTATTGAAAACTACAAAATAGCACTGCATGTCAAAGCCAGGAAGATCAGCTACAACCCCAAGCTAGTTCATCTATTGATAGCCTAAACTGCTTCTTGCTGGGATTCTTTACAATATGTACAAACTTTTCCTTCATGACATTTGACATACGTTTTACTATTTACTATGAAAGGAGACTTCAAAGACATGATGCAATTTGTGACTTAATGAAATAAAATACATTACCTTTACTACAATCCCAGATGGAATATGCTTCAAGACAACACAGTTGTTTGTCTTATTTGTGGCTTGACCTCCTGGGCCATCACCTCTTACAAACTGTTCTTCTAATTCTGCCTCATTTAGTCCAAGGAGATTGAAAGAGTTCTTCTTTCCTGCTGCCTGAAGTAAGGGCACTCTGGGCAGAGAAAATTGCTGCTTCCTCAAAATCCATGGTCTCCATGATTGTGTTCGTACTTCTCTCAGTAAGAACGTAAAATGAAATAGACTTGGAACACTCATACAGAAATGAGAACACAGTTTCTCTGGAATGAAACCTGAAATACAGGTAGGGAATGGAGTTTGCCATGAGAATCCTTGCTTTAAGATGATCTAGTTTGGCTGCATGTCTTGAGCAGTATTTTGATACTCATATTTATTTTCAAGGATATTTGAACTAGTTTCGTAGGCATTTGCCTTGAAATATTTACCATTCCAAATGGAATTTTGGTTCTCATTGCAATTAGGTTTCTTAAAATAGAAGTACTTTGTTGTTGAAAGCTGGAAAACAGTAAATAAATTAGTACTCCTACTGACACTTGGAAAATACTAAAGATTCCTAAAAAAAAGACCAGGGAGGGAAAAGAGGATATTTCTGGCTTGTAGTCTGACCTGTAGCGTCAGACTGGGAAGCCTTTGCTGACACTCCACTGGTGCCCAGGTTGTGTCTAGCTGGCAACAGTACCTGCAATTTACCATGTCGACACATGCTTGAACTACATCAAAGGAGGACAGGTGAGGCTGCAGGAATCCTCCTCTGAGGTTGACATAAACAGTGCTCTCAACTACTGAAAGCAGTAGCAAATTTACATAATGTAATTGGCCTAATAACGTCTTGGCTTTCCATGTTTGCTGGCTTACAGTCATGGAAGACTGTGAAGAGGAGGCGGAGGAAAAACAAAACAATCAAAGAAAAAAAAAAAGAACAGGACTGTACATAGAATATTTCTGTCCCAAGAGTATGGATATCAGAAATTAGATCTGGCAGAAGAGAGCTCAAGTAGTTTAATTAAAGTCAGAATGCAAAGACTGATTTTTACCTGTAGGAATGATGCATGACTGGTCAGTCAAAACAGCCGACTAACAGTACTTGGCAGAACTCTGGTACATGTATTTAGTTGCAGATTGATTTATGATTGAGTTCTGAAAATCCTCTTCAATTCTAGGTTAGTACAGGAATAATCCTTACCTAAAGGGATTACATGATCTAGACTTGCCTTTTGACCTTGCTCCATTACAGTGGTTTCAAATTTTGAGGTTGGGCTCTAGTGTGCGTAGGATTTGGTGTGTAATACAGCAAATGTGGAAAACTCCATTTCAAATCAGAAGTACTCCTCTACGTTGATCCCATTAACAAGCTCGCCCATCCTGCTCTACTCTTGTAACTTTCTATGTAGCCCATCATATGGCTTTGATAGAGGAAAAATAATCAAGGGGTAAACAGACCACCAGGATTTCAACTACTATTTCACATGCTGATTTTTCCCAGGTCAGGTTATTAACAAAGGCAGAAAAATACACCTGGAAGGATTGATTATCCTCATGGAGAACGAGGAATATTAGGTTCTGCTGCTGTGAAATTGCACTCTTCGACAAGGTGTTAAGCGAGCAATTACAACACCGCCTGCTGTTATGCTTGAAATATTTTATTTGATTCAGAAAAAATACTTCAGCATCTGAAGTGGCACTTAGCAGTAAACATCCATAAAAGTTGAACATAACTGTTGAAATAACGATAATTTTAAGAAAGCTTTTATTGGCAAGTAAAGACGTCCGCTTGGTGGCACTAGAAGGCAGTAACTTTTTTTTTTTTTTCTGCAAAAAACACGCAGAAAAAAATAGCAGAACTCCTACCTAGATCTGCAGTGAGCCTTAACAGCAGGTTTAGTACGGGCACTGCCTGTTTGAAGTGGCCTGTTTTGAAACCAAGACTGACTACTCTCCCAGCTGCCGCATCTTAATACGTCAGTCAAGGTAAACATGTTCTCTGTAAGCCTATTTCTACTGCTTGACACTATAGCTCTGAAACAGGACTAAACCTAGAAGATACTGGAGAGTTTTCTCGAGATTTCACTTAGCACAGAAAGTCTCCAAGAAACACGTGCCCTACAACGCAAAAAAGACTTTCAGATAATAATGCTTTAATTCTAAAAAGTTTTGCTTATGAGATTTTTAAGCATAGACTACGGAAGAGCTGTGTCAACACACTAATCTCGCATTTTTTTCAACAGTTACGGAAGGGAGCAGCCGTTCTCAGCTCCCCTGCAAAGGACGGGGCATTGGCACCGCGCAGCCCGGACGGTTGATGGAACTGCTTTAAAGCAACTGTTCTGCTGAAAAACTTGCACGAGCGACCGCATTTGGTGTCCCGTACGCTCAGGAAACGAAGCGAGCAGCGAGATTTCAGCAGGGGCTCCAGCACGGCTTGACAGCCGCCCAGCGCCCGCAGGGGCACGCCGCACGCCGGTACCAGGTAAGGGCAG